CAACTAATTTTGAAACTTACTTGTCTAAGGTCTACCCAAATGAATAGGCTGCTGCTGAATTTCTAATTTCCTGCTATATATTTGATGGGGAAATTAAGGTAAATGTCTTTAAAATATGACAGGGGACGACTGGGAGCAAAGCAAAATGAGAAGCGTCCTTCGCTACAGCGGTTCATTAGCACGTATGCCTGGGCAGAGTATGAAGATGAACATTCTGAAACAAAGTGAGTTCAAGAGCAGCCTCCTTTGAGGCGTGTGTGCAGGATTGCTTGGTTTGTTGTTAATGAACTCAACTGTCCACCACCTGGTCAGGGCTATAACATAAAGCTGTTGTGAGCTCTGGCAAATTGAGTGCTTGATAGAAAAGCTGTGTAACTGTTGATGCTTCCTTACAGAAATGAGCAGTCAGAATCACCTGCTGAAGTACAAGAAGAACCATCAAGGAAGGAAAGTATCTCTGAAAAAGGAAAATGTTCATCAAAATGGAACCTAGAATCAGCGTAAGTTTTCTCACCTCATTATCGGGTACAACAGTGGGTGGTGGACAGGGGAAGAGGAAGCAAAGCGGTAGCCTTAGTTGGGTTGTTAATGATGACTCCTTAAACAAACCAATGGAGAATGAGTAATGTCAGGTGCCAGAGACTCGTCCCATTACTAATCCAAAATGGTGAGGTGAAGAGGAGCCTCATGAGCTATGATCCCACCTCTCTTGGTTACTGTGGGACAGCTGTTACAGCTAGGCTGCTAAGTCAGGCTAACACCTACTCTTGTAAAAATGATCAAGGATTTGAGGCCCAAGCAAAACTTAACAGCAGCTTTGGCACATGCTGAGACACAAGTGGTTCTCAAGATTAAGTCCAAGCTATTCCAGCTAATTTCTCAGAATATCTCAAGTCAAGGAAGAGACTGCTGTCCTAAACAAGGATCCCTTGGATGCTCTTGCCTTACAGGAAAGGAGGTCTGCTATCACAGCAGAGAAACTGTTTATCCCATATAAATACCCTCTCCTGTGAGCATTCCTGATCCAGGGGGAGACAAGACAATTATGCTAGTGTGTAAAAGTGAGAGGACAGCAAGAACAATTTTTTTCCTATTGTTTGATAAAGGGTGGAGGTACCTAATGTCATGAGGTCTAGGATTTGGATAGTCGCTGAGGGTAAGACTAACATAACCCTAACCTCCAGGAAGGCACCAAAGCCCTAGAAAACGACAAAAATTAAGGCCAGGACTTTCAGTGCTTTCTACAAGCAAGATTTCTTAATGATCTGCAAGGCAGCTTTTGTGAATCCCCTTCAGAAACAGTGTGTGGTATAGGGAGCATGGGTGGACTTACGAGTTGGGGCAGTCACCTCAACAGCTTATCGAGAACTTGCCTACTGATGTCTGCATTTTAAACCCAGGACATAAGCTACCACTGTATGTAGCTCCCAATACAGTAACAGCCTCGTCACTTAATAGCTAGGGATCTGTATGTTTGTTTGTGGGGTCTGGTTTACTTTAGAGTTGAGGTGGAGAAGTGGGGTGGGAAGGGGGCTTACAAGTTTTGAAGAAAAACTGAACCACTCTGACTTACTTTTCTGTTGCAGATGCAATTTAGTGTCATCATGGGCATCCCATTTCAAGACTTCCTTTTCCAACGCTAACAAAACTCTCTGGGTTTCTGTTTCCATCCTGGTGCTGCTTGCTGCTCTTACAAGCTTTCTCACTGGGCTGTCTCTTCAAAGACCAGCAGAAGCAGCACCTGTCGGGACTGGGGACTCCTGGACTTCACTACAGCAATTGCTGTGGCCGTACACAGGACTTCAACACAACGGACCACCCCCAGTATAACAAAGGTTCTGACTTTTGTAATTATACTTCCAAGTTCTGGGTGACAGTATGAGAAGCTGAGATAGGGTATTTAAGGTTACATATTTGGGTTTGTTTGGTTGGGTTGTGGGTGTTTTTTGGGGAGATGATTATAAATATATTTTCTTTTCTTTTTTTTTTTTTTAAAAGCATGACTTTAGATTGAAAAATACCCTTCCCCCTGCATTTTGACAAAAGTGATCGTCACAGGTACCTAAAAGGATCTCATTTCCTTTCAGGAAAATAGTAATTTTGAATACAGCTAACAATAAATATGACTAAGTGGTCTAGCCACAAAAGACTAAAGAACTTGTTTTGCTGTAACAAAAATGGAAAGTTTGCACGGTAGTCATTGCAACTGTTCCAATGACTTGAATTGAAAAGGATTCAAGACTTGAAATGTAACTTTATTGAAAGTTTTTGATAATAAAGTTTTAAAGCAAAGCATGCAGTATTTAAGAGTATGTTAAAACTCCTGTTGCAAGGAGCAGCTGATATACAACATCAATAAATAGGAAATTAGCTGTTTCCACTTTAGCAATTGCTTCTTTGCTGGCAAAGTCTTTAAGCATATGGTAGATTGTGGAGTGGAACTCAGAATCTTCTTCCAGCTCTTCTGAAAAAGCTTCACTAGTTTCAGTGATCTTGAGCTTTTGTGCTTTCTGACCATTAAACATGTAAAGTGACCAGTCTTTGTCTTTGAGAGAATCTGCTTTAAGATGCTCACTTACCTATTGCAGGGGCGAAAAAAAAAAAGTGCTGACAGAGTATAAATTCTAGTATTAAATTCTAGTATCCTTATGAGTGTAAGACAAACAAAAACCAAGGTGCTGCTCTGAACTCCTAAAACAACATTAGTTCTCTGTGCCAAAGAGACTGTACCAGGTACTGCACCAACACCAAAATCTTCCATCTAGTTTCCCTCTGTAAAATGCAAGGGATGGCTGCTCCTAATTTCTTGCTGCTCGTGACACTTGCTGAGAGAGTAGCTGGGTACAACAGGCATCATTAGTTTTAGTTCTTGCTCCTGGGATTAAGGATTGGGGTAAATCTTTGTATTTATGTCATGTGTGTTTAATGCAAGAGAGTGGGAGAGCTTCTCAAGATTTCAGCAACGACAACTGGGAGTATTTTTCTGTCTGGGAGGAGTTTTAACCATATTTGGTTTTAGTTCACATATGGAAACAAATCAATGCTTAAGTTGTTACCTTTTAAAGTAGGGAACAAATGAAACCCCTTCTGGACAAGAAGGAATGTCCAGACATTAATTATTAAACTTGCAGCTCGGATTGCTATTCAGCTCTAGAGACTGCTACTATGAAAATCAGCATCCAGCTACATCATCCCAGCCTTGGCTCAAGTCTCTACCTTATGCATCCTCGCACATTAGAGATCTCAAACTCTTGTTCATCACAAATGCACGAGCTGTGAAGCAGTGGAGAAGCAGACTGAAGTTTTACTGAACACCGCTAAAGCAGTCAACACTCAATCTAGGAGTGTAGGCAGGGGTTGAAGACAACGTTTGACACGTGTAACACAGACATTAACTGTTTCTCTCTCTTCAACTGCAACACAGTTCTGTGCTGGTTTTCTCTAGAATTTTAGTCTAGATCCACAAACCTTGAACACTACTTGCTCTGGCCCTGCTTCTAGATTCCACTTGCTCCAAGCAAAAGCAAAAGCAGATGCAACCAGTGCCATCTGTTGATAGGCCCCGACTTCTACTAGGGGATCCTGTAATGCAAAAGTACAAGTTACAAAAGCTATGTACCATTCACTCTCATTCCCTGTGTTATGCAGATATAAGAAAAGGCTTGCTTTGACCAGAATCCACCTGTCAGCTTGCCACCTGATTCTGCACAACAGGTCTTTGTACAAGTAAATGTTACCTATGTGAAAAATAGGTTGAAAAAACTCCAGGAAAACCAAACACTCTTGTACTCACCTTCTTGTTCACAGAGACGTACTTGTGAGCAAACTCCCCTGGGAAAATATTCACACCCGCTTTTTTCAAAACTGTTCTTAAGTCAAGTGGACTTGTCCATTTTCCTGTCATGTGGGAAAGCACATCCTTCTCTTCCACCACTACTGAAGACAACATACACTGATTACCCTGTTGCACAAACCAGTGAGAAGCAACTTAATAGTCATGAAAGCTATTTTCTGCTTCAGACATCAGATGGTAACAGCTTCTTTGCTGTGCTGGATACTCCATCCATTATCTACCAAACAGGGCAGAGCGAGATACAAATTCCTCTTGTGGAAGCATCCCAAGTTCTTAATAAAGGACATTGTAATAATTCTATATATTTTTTAAAATATGCAGCTGTTTTATAAAAAAAAAAAGTATTGACAGTACCTTAATTTGTATCTGAACTGTCACAAAGCCTGTCGTGATTACAAACAGTGCTTCATCCCTGCCAGTAGGTCGTAACTCCCACGCCTGGTAAGGCATGTTGAGGTGAGCATCCTGGAGAAGTGCTATTGTATGAAAGGCACCCAGGGCAAAGGTGATGCTCCTTTCCTGTGTCTCGTATTTTATGTTGCTGATGCCATCAGTTCTCCACTGTTGGCCTGAACAAAAGGATGCAAAAAATCCAAAGATGTACAGGTAAAGCTTCTGCTTGTGAATTAGTTAATAAAAACATCCTTGGTTAACTAATATTCACAGTTAAGATAAAATATTAGGCAAAAACTATAGATAATTCATTTAAGGTAAAGACTTCCCTCATTTTAATTGTTTTTAAGTAGGAGATTGGGCTAATTTTGACAGGAAAGCTCCTCCTTAATCTCAAAAGAAATATAAATACTAATGTAACTTTTTTTTTACTTGCAGTACAGCAGTCCACAAGCTCATTGTCAACAGTAACTTCGAACCATTCTTAATGGGTTCTACTCTTTTTCACAAATGTGGAGTCAGAGGTGTATTGTGCTTTTTTAATAACTGGAATATTTGGGTTTTAATATTTAGTTTTCATATTTTAACTTAATACATGTGGTTAGGAGCTAATTTGGCTCAAAGGAGACTTTACATGGCTTCACACTAGTTACACTTGATTTGTGGTATATGTTTCTACTACTGTCCATTAAATGGTGTGCATTTTTTCCAGTCATATTAAAAGGCTACAGTAAAAAGCCTCCAAGGGCAGCCCATTATTAGATGTGATGCAGAATCAAAACACAACAACAACAACAACAAAATTAACGTTGAAGTCCCCAGATTATTTCTGGGCTCTGAATTGGTTCTTATCTTTACAGCTGGATTCTGGAAATACTCAAACCCAGGTATAAATTCCATTTTATGTTCTAAGTTGTTACCTGTAGGATCCCATCGGGCAACCACAGGATCCTGAAAATAGACCACGCTGTCAGGAAGCCCAAGGGTTATCTGTATCAGTGTGAGTGGGGCACCTTCAGCCTCCTCTGGGGGATATGGGTACGCCTCCAATCCAGCATCCAGTAACTTTGGCCAGGTGGGAAAAGGACAGAAAATACTTCTATTAGAACATGCAGTAGCAGCTAATCACCCCCAGAGTTTCTTAACACACTAATTTATTAGTATTAATAGTTTTATTATTTTTAGTAATTATTTTGGGTTTTCTATTATTTTATTTATATGCATTAGTTTTACTAATTAGTAAAACAGTAGTAGTAATTGTTTGCTACTATCGCACATTTCCAACTACAACGCTGAAGAAAGTAGAAGGGTAAGTACCAAAAGGCCTTTGAACTCTTCACATGCTGTTTGTGGCACCCATCGGGCAGTGCCACATAGTCATTTTTTAAGATTCACAGTCTCCAACAAAATGAAGAGCACCTGAGTGGCAAAAGCGGGTGTAATTCCACTTTATCCACACAGGGTCAAGGGGAATGAAAGTAGACACATGCAACTGGTAATGCAGGTCTGTGTGCTCAGCTGGGAACAAAGATCCCATGCCTCCCATCTGCCCCCACTCCTGCTCTCTTAGTTTGCATGGGAATTTCATTTATCAAAGGTTTTCTGTTTCACTAAAAACTGTGATGGAGGTTAATGCTGCATCAGGCTCCATGAGTGCACTGGGTATAGTCCTCAAATCTCTTGCAGAGCCTGGACCTGGATTGGCAGTAATTTTGTTACCACCCTTCGTCAAGTCAAGTCTGTCTTTCATATATGAAAAAACTAAGCACTTCTCTCTTTGCTTTTACTTAGCCTAAGAGCATTTTTCCAGTACAACTCTCTGTGGTAGCCACGCTGGTGAGCAGTGACTGAGCACACACCTCTCTCAGTGCAGGCTGATCTGTTTCCTACAACTGCTCCAAAACTTGTCTGAGCGTAATTGAAAAATGATTTGAAAACTTGGTCCTTTAGTTTGCTGCTCAAGGGGTGACACACCTCAGGTACAGCTCTTCAGGGGTGAGGGTGTGTTCCTTGCATGGGGTGTAATCTCCTTCCTCCCTCCCTCACTCACTCACCTCCACTATACTCCAGTCCTGGATTTGCTTGGCCCGCGGTGGAAGCTGCAGTGCATCGATATGGTACACACCACCCACCGGTACAAACCGCTGCAAATCAACAACGTTTCCATCAGGTGTTGCTGCTCCTTTTTCATTCATCTCTTCCTGGATCAGTGGGTCCTGAACTGAAAAACAGCCAAACAACATGAGTTAACTTAGTGCTTAAAACTGAGACACTTAAATTTCCCACTTCTACTATTTTTCCCCTTGAAGTGCTTTATACTCTGCAGCATTCCAGCACCATCTACTGGTCCTCCCCAGATCTTTTAACAATTCATTGAAATGTGGGGGAAGACAGACAGCTGGACAATAAAAAGCACTTCTTGTTTTGGCACTGAGTTTTTTAATTGATACCTCTCTGCTCTAACTTTGTAGTCAATTCGAAATGCTTGATGTAGGAATAAGGTTTTACTGACAAAATGAGTCTCATCATCACTGATCACAGAGGAATTTCACAAGTATACAACACAGTACATTTTGGATGGGTTTGGCAAGGTCGTATTGGCATGAAAAGAAATGAGGCAAATAAAAAGGTATAAGGCAACAAGGTCACGAGACAATTGATATTTACGAAGTGCAAGAGCGAAACATTGTGAGATAAAATTTTCAGATAACAAAGATAATTCATATTTTTATATGCATAGTTCTGTATCTATTATATGTATGAATTTAAGTTTTAATTAATTGAAAAGTATTATTAAAAGGCATAAATGCCATAGAAAAAAATGACAAGGACTATTTTATTAAAAAAAAAATCGCATAAAACATTGCACCAGATGTTACAGAAGGAGAACAGGAGTTACTGTTGACAGGGATCAAGAAAAAAGCATTCAATAATATAAAACCACCTGCTTTTAGGAAGTGACACACTCGTACAAACCAACAAATATTCACATAATCTGTCTTCAAGTTTTTTAAAAGCAAGTGAAAGTGTTGTTAATTTTATTTTATAGTGTCAGCTTTAGTTGCTTTATACAGAAGTTTTATTCTACTGCCTTCACACAGCAACATCATGTCCTTTTGCAGATACTCCAAGCAAAAACTTCACAGGAAGCAAGAACCATTTTACTACCAGCCACAGTGGCAGCTTGCACCTTAACTTGCTCTTTAAAATAATAATACAAAAATATGTAAGTCTCTTCTAAGCAAAACTATTCATTCCCTCAAGCCAAATTAAGTTCTTAACACTGGTACAATGAAGTGCAATCCAGAGAAGAACTGGCTGTAGTTCTCGCTGTTTTCTCTCTTGCTGCTTTCCTGGTTTTCCTCACTTTGACCTGGCTGCCTGTTTTCACCAAATTTGTAGTAACCGAGAACCCTTTCAAGCATTATTCTAAAAGGGGTTGGATGGGTTTGCAGGTCATCAGCATGCCAGCAAAAGCACAGTTTCATAAGCTCTCTCTCCTTTTTAAAGCAGGTAAACAAACTTGAAGACATTCGGGTATAATTGGTTCACTTCTGTGCACAAAAATTACACCTAATACTGCGACAGGGATTTTCAAAGCCTTTCCAAAATAAAATAGCAAATTCCTCTAGATGCAGCCCACGTCCCTTATATTCTCTTGAAAATCACCTGGTTTGGGTGGCCTTCAGGGTCATGTCTGACAATTGGTTGCTTGGACTGTGCTCAGCAGAAAGTGTTGTGTGGTGGTTTTTTTACAAGGAAAAGGCCGTACAGCTCAGCTAAATCACGCTGAACAGTTTGCAGTTGTTTTGTTTAAGACAGCACTACAAGAAAACTCACTCTTATTAAACCAAAAGACACCACAACACTGAAGAAATTTGAAACTCATGTGGGACAGATAGATAAACAGTTTTAGTTCCTGGAACTGGGCTCTCTTTTAGCAGGGTGTACCCACGTCTCTCACCCTAAGCACACGTTTCATTAATACTCCGTCAGACCTACACTACCGGCCTGCCTACGTTATACACATCTGAATAATTTTCTTCTGAGGAAGTCAATCTCATCAGACACCCTGGCAGATTCATAAAGGCTGTGTGTTTCACCTATAAACAAACATATGCATAATAACAGACAAATGTATGTAAACATAATAAGTAATAACTAAATTAATTAAAATAAGTGTGGGGACAAATTCCATCTTCCTATCTATCCTATATGCTCCCTGCATTTAGCAATCATTAATAGAAATGTCAACATAACTCAAGTGTTATCAAAACATCAATATATTTAAAAACTTTATTCCATTCCCATAGAGATCTCGATCTTAATGCTTCCCTATATAAAATAAAATATGTAGAATATGTACTTTTGTAACGATGCACATAATAACTGACCAAATACCTTGTGATGGCATGTCCAGGATTTCTGATTTCTTCTCAATTTCCTCCTCGGTCTCATTTATATCAGCTCTGGTATTGCTGTTTTCTTGAACTGAGACAGCACTCTATAAAAAGCAAAAGACATTTTTTCATTAGTGAGAGACAGACACAACAAAGCAGAGGGTATCACCTCCTTTAAGGAGGAGAAAGAGTCCAGGCCCACGCCTCCAGCAACACTTGCTACAAAAACCAGTCTTGCTACAGCGTCAAGGGTTTAGGAGGAATCATTTCTACCTAGCTAGAAAAAAACCAGTTTTAATTAAAAGAACTCTCCAACTTTGGAACCAGATATAGAAATACAGATAAACATAAAATAACTACTTCATTTCCACAGCAAATTCCATCTCGAGCTCCCCAAGTACCATGCAAGCCCTTAACTTTTTTAGCAGTACATGCACTCAAAAATTATGTTTATGGTGACTTTACTGCTGGAAGAGCAACACAAAGAAAACTTAAGCCAATACTGAAATTCTGCCAGAACCCCCACCTGCAGTCAGCCTGTGCCTTGCCCATGATATTTATCCCCTTTCTCACACTGTTTTCTATTTTCAAAGTATTACCCTAGATTTCCAGCCAAATTTCCAACCCAGATACAAACTGATCCCGGTCACAGCGGGCTCCTCTGGAAGCACAGCAGCAGGCAAACCGCAGTTCAGTGTATGAGCCATCCCTCTGGAGGCACCGACACCCCTGTGCGCTGAGCCTGCCAGTGCATGGGAGGAACACACATCTGACACAGGACAGAAGGTGAGGGGAAAGAAGTGTTTACGCACATAAATGCGGGGGAGCTCAAGGAAGAGCCAGACAGGAGAGACTAGAGTAGCTGAGAGCAGGGGTGTCTTCAGAGGGAACAGGAAAATTCACAAAACTGGACTGAGAGTAAGACCTGGAAAAGAAAAAGAGAAGGAATGAAATTAGGAGCTTGAAGGAAGTCTGAAAAACAAAGATGAAAACTGACAAAAGACAAGATTTGTGATGCAAAAAAGGAAAAAGGAACCATGCAAATTGGGATTTCAGGCACTGATTCACTGCAAGGTGTCAGGGGCTGAAAAAGGCAAAGATCGTTGCTCCAAATGTATGAAGGTGGCATAAAACATGATGGTGTAGAGTTACTTGTGCAGAAATTTTAGATAGAGAATCTGAGCCATTTATCTGCAGGTCACAGGTGATACTGAAAGTGAAAAACCCAAACTCAGTAACAAGAATACAAAACCAAACAACCCCCCCCAGCCCCCAAAGCCAAAATACTCCATGGAGGAGCAATGATGGAGGGAATCCTGCAGCCAGAAACAGTACTGGGAAATCCTGCTAGTGGCAACAGCTTCAGTGCACAGACACGGAGCGACCATCTAACTGCACAGCCACCATCTGCTGA